AATACCAATCCCTCAATTACCCATTTTGGCTCTTCCCCACACTCCCTTTATGTCTCGTCCATACTTATCAACCAGAAAACACCTTATGTCATACCTCCCTTTCAAACCATGATGCGAATAACTGTCTACTTCTCCCCTTCCCACACCATTGACTGTTACCTTTGAAACTCTAATTTCCCAACTCTAAATCACTAAGCTATAAGGAAAGGTGGTTGAACTGCTGACACTCTTTGGGGTGATTTTATCACCAACTCCCGTGGCCGATCTCCAGAGCGCTTATTATCTTAATTCAGATCACCCCACACTTTGATATACGCACCCAATCTTTTTATGCATTGACCTCTTTCCATGTTCCCCTTCTCTTCATTTAGATTTCCAATGATCAGTACTAGACAACTTTACCTATAGTGACCACTTTCCAGTTCTTTCTTCTACTTCATATGTACCACTGCCCGATGCTCTGATAGAGCCGACTAGCGTACTTTCACTTCACACACTGCTATTCCTACTCCTCTATCTTCCTTCTTGTTCATTTCAGATGTTATACAATGTTTCACAACTACAGTCCTAAGAGCTGCCCATACAGCTAGTCCTTAAGCCTCAAGACCCTATACCTCCAAATATGTTCTATGGTGGAATTCCGACTGCACTAAAGCGCTTTGCTTAAAACGTGCAGCTTGTGGACAGTTTAGCTATAAACGAGGCCCCCAGGCACCCTAATCACTATCAGCCCTTATCTCCTTTAAAAGGCATCTCTGCCTCTGCCTGTCTTCGTTGTACAATCCGGAATCAGTAAAACAAATACTGCAATTACTTTCTTCAATTACATCTTTCTTCCACATCTATCACATCTGTTTGGCGCCAGAATCCATAACATCAGCAAACATCCCCCCATCCAGCTCCCGTCCCTCCATATTCGAGTATACCCTCATCTCTGATCCTCTCCAAGTCGCTAATGACTGGGTGTTATTTCAGCTAGGTCAGTAGTGGTTTTCTCACCTTTCTCCACACCGTCACTTGTATTTGACCATCAGGGAACGTACCCCTTTTACTTCACGACCATATCCTCTGCTGAGTCATATAATGCTTCTTTTTCTTCCTCTGACTCAATGCTGCCTTACAATCGGTGCCGCAACAGTCATGAAGGCCCTGACGGTATTCACTACGGTAAATGCCGCAGGCACTCCCATCCTCCTCCCTTATCCTTCCTATACCAATTTTTCAACCCCGTATGGACCTCAGAAAAATTTTCATTCTCTTGGGCGAGAACCTTTTATCCTTCCGCTTCTGAAACCCACTAAATCAGGTACCCTTCCTTCGCTTTTTCCCAAAGAACTAGCTGCTTGTGCAAACACTAGAGTGAATGGTTACTTCCGCTTAATGTGGTATGTTGAATATCACAATCTTATCTCTCGGCTGTCCCAATTTAGCCAGCATGGCCCCCTTGTTTCTTTTGAGACATTACAATCTGCATTTGCATGCCATATTAGCATATTCTTTGACCTAGAAAGAAGCATATATATATTATAACCTGATACGATACTACATAGGCGGTACTATATTCTCCTCTAACACAGAGGAGGAAACATGCAATTTAGAGAGGAAAGACTTTCCAGGTCAAAATTGCCTCATCTACATCATCCTTTCCTCAATTCGAAGGAGTCTCACAAGCAGTGTGGCTCCAGTACCCCTTTATTCCTTCCTTGCGTTAATGACATTGTCTCATTCTACCACCATTACCCGGTCCCACACTATTTGTTGAGGATTAAACTTTCACCTCTAGCACATCTATACCAATCTTCTGCTGGCCAATTCCTTCCTCTGCAATATCAGCAGTATCTTCCTGGGCCACAAACCATGGCTTCCGCTTTTCTACTCAAATCTTTCGTCCATCCTTTTCTTCTCACACACATGTAGGTCCCATACCTCTCCCGTCATCTTATATGATGGTTAATGGTTCAAAGCAAAGATAATGTGCTAGACATCTAATGGTCATGTAGGCCCTATAGTTAATGTTAGTGAAAGGTGGTTGAGTTGTGATTAGTTGTCTAAGTTGGTAAAGGAATTGGTGAATCAAGGGTTAAGGTCGGGTGTTAGATTAGATAAAGGATATGTATGTTCTTTTCATCGTATAATGAAACTCCACTCTCCAATACCGTCACTCTGGCAATTCTTTGTATTGAAGTAAAAAAAAAAAAAACAAAAAAAAAGAAAACTCGCTGCTGTCTGTCTCCAACCTTACAAACTATCCCATATATCCTGGGGCTCGATCGTGAAACTATAATCTTCTTGCTCCTTGACCCTCTTGCCTCAACCTCGCTCCTTGGCCCATCTTGATACATCCACCACTGTGGCTTCGTTTAGCCCTAGGTGCCTTCTGCTCCTCTCCTCTCTGCCTTCAGCCAGCCCAGTATGTTTTCCTCATTACGAAAAGCAGATCCAATACTACAATTCATATCAATCAAATTAATGTAAATGAAGGAGTAATATTTCCTGTAGCCAAGATTTTCATTATCAATTGGGAAAAAAATGATAATCCTGCAAGACATGAAAGGATATCAACGTCTTGTATATAAAATATTTAATAAATTTGCTATAAAAACAACATTAGGTTACAATGTACTCTACAAAAAAATATAAAAGCTTTCAAACAGATAAACTTTAAAATGATATTTACGCTTCTTCTACTGTGCTAAAAATGTTATTTTTTTTAGTCCTCTTCAAGGCAGACAACATACACGACTGATGTGCTATCTTTCTCCTCACCTAGGTAGCAGCCGACTGGTGTCAATTTGGTTATGTCTGGATCAGTAGAACTGGCAAATTCCTTGCTTATTTTGATCACTGTTCCATGCTGAGAGAGCGGCTGAGTGTGGCGATGACATTAGGGTAGCCAAGATTCTGGCATAAATGGCCAGATAGGTAGGTGTTCTTTGACCAGTGTTTGCCTGCTGTATGTAAACCATCGTCCTCTCATCCGCAACAGAAGAAACCCTTCACGACTCCGTTGTGGAACACTGTAGGTGTAGTAAGCCTTTGGTGTTATAGCAAATGGGTGTATATTCACAAAATGTAACAAGAATTTGTACTAAACTTACCCTAGAACCGTCTCGGAAACAAATACCGAAGGTGACAAAGCTATGCAGTGATTTTCATCCTCTCCATTCTCACACTCCCTCTTGCCATCACACACGAGTTCATCATCAATGCACGTCTGTGAGGACGAACTGTTGAAAACGATTTCGTTAATTTTACAGTGTTAGGAATTACTGGGGGTCAAATGAACACTATTATGCATCCATTAAGTATCACGTATTTCTTTATTGACATCAAAATTCTAAAGAATTTGCATTCACCTTGTAACATCGAAATTTTGAGGGTTCAGAGCAGCCACAGTATTTCTCATCTTCCTGGTCATTGCAGTCTATAATTCCATCACACACTTTCCTTCTGTCACCACGTCGCAGCCGCTGAACGAAGTAGAAATAGTGTAAATATTTTTTTTCTGGGTTTAGCTAGGCATCTATTTTTGATAACAAATTAAATCAGTATCATTATGAATAGTATCAGTGTCGTTCTGAACACTACCAATGACTTGAAATCCATTCTCGTAATATATACCTCAATGCATGTGCAGTTCACTTTCATCAGAACCGTCAAGACAGTGTGAGATGCCATCACACACTTTGTCGAAAGGAACGCAAACCTTGTCAGGACACTGCATCATTCCATCTTCACAAACTGTCATGTAAGGGAAAATGTTAAATCGGTTGATGATATTGATTTAGGCATTTGGCAAGCTCTTCTGAAGTAGAGATACAGGCAGATGATCCACTGCAGATTAATTTAATGTTGAAAAACTGTGTGGGAAAACATCTTGGGCCCCCAAACACACAGAATCAGGTCACTAAGAGCTCCTACCACAAGTTTGCATTTCGTTGTTAGGGGTACAGAGAGAGAGATGTGCAGGGCAGGTTGGAAGCTCGTCAGCAAGGTCAGGGGCAGTCTAGCTTCATATCACACATCATCTCCTGTCCAATACAGACACCCGTTGGACATGTGTCACTCTCACAGAGGTCTGGTACTTTTGGTATACTCACGTCCGGGGTGGCTGAAATGTAAACGCGGGTATAAGCGTATTTCTAAAATTGGAAAAAAAAAAAAAACATCCGAAATAAATAATAACAACATGAATTTTAATTAGTTTGCTATATTAGCCGAAATACCATTAGCCCAACAATGTAAAATGGAACACACCTAAGATTCTGAAGATGGTATTTATGTTCTCCTTTGTAATAACAAGACGGATGGGATCTTGCTATTCCCATCGCATGTCCCATGGGACCTACATGCCCATACCTGTCACACGAACCTGTTCACGATCGGTCTTATACAGGCAATTACACCATAGGCCATGAGGACTGTTGGCAAAGAAGTATAAAGACATCTCAAGCATTGATAAATTATGTATTCCTCGCCACTGCAGTAGCATTCATTGCTGAATCTTTAGGTAAACCCATAATAAGAATTAATGCCAAGATGTTCTTACCATGCAAGGGAGCTTTTGTCTAGATTGTCTTTAATACCAAATTTCATGTCGGTTGCAAGTATTCAGTAGTGTGCAAAATTATGCCCGAGTGAGAGGCGATCATCATCTTCAGACAAACCAGCAATGACAACAAGAACGGGGGGGGGGGCTGTTTTGGTTGTACATCCGGCAAACTGCAGGGACATTTAACAAGTTATATTCACTTTTCTGGTATTTAAAATAAATGGTTTAATGGTTACAAAAAATAAATGTGGTCAAAGTGTAAAGTAATGTAGGCGATTTGCAGCAAAAGGAGAAAGGCGTTTCAAGGCAATTAGACCAGTTTTAGGAAAAAAGTGTCAGGAGGGGAGAGGGGTCACATGTTTTACTCGGGGATTTTGGAAGGGATAATCGCAAGTGAAGGGGGGTATGATTGCTGAATCGAGGGGGAGTGGGGGTTTTTCTGTCACACCAACTTTGGTCATTATATATACATTTTTATTGTCGTTATATTAACTTATATATATATATATTTAACACTTAATGCTTTTTATTCGATGAATATTGTTTATATGAAAAGTAAAGGATTATGAAAAGATCCTAATCATGTCACGATGAGACTTTTAAAGTAAAGGGGTTTTGTAAATTCTCTAAATACCCATGTTTTCCTTATAGATTTTCAGGTTCTATAATCTGAGCTATTAATTAGTGGCTCCTGGCACTCTTGGCAGTATCATGATAGCATTTCTTTTCATGTTAAAGCTTGTGATCCAGAAAAGATCTTCGATATTTCTCAGCTTATTGATTGTACTTTTCCATTGGTGGGGGTTCCCCTCATCTTCTGTCTTGGGGTTTCTGATCTGATGGGCTTCAGGTCTGTGTGGAAGAAGTGATCAAAAGCAGTGAGAGAAGGGAAGCAAGCAGCTTGGTCTTTGTCATTGCTAAAGCTTATTTTCCAGAAATACCACATGAGGCTGGTAAAAGCACAAGTCGATTTTTTTCCGTGACGATACAAGTATCAGCCAGTCCTAGATTTCTCTTCTTTCAACTTTCAGTGCACTGCTTTATTACACAAATTGGCGACTTTCAAATAGTATCATTTTGACCACAGAAAGAGGCAATAAATCTACAGGAAGAATGATGTTGGAGGCAGGCTTCCCAACACTTCTCCACGTTTTACTAATGGCGAAATATCCTACGGCCATTTTCAAAATTCGAGCCATCCAGTGTATATTTCTGTTGAGGTTCTGAATTTAGAGGGCATATTCAAGAAATTTCTGCTTTTTTCTCTAGTTTTTGTACACAAGAGATTCAGGGTTTCTCTGCAATCTATGAGGATAGATGAAGTTCATATAATCACAATGAAATTCTATCTTTATAATTTCACTTTCTGCATATAAAGACAGTTTGGTGATGACCGATAACGCACCTGTGTCAAATTAGTCAGTGCTTCATATGTCGATAGGGTTTAGTAGCAGAGAATGATGTGAGCTTTGCTTCATGTTCCCCACCATACGTCCAGCTTATTATCAGTGTTAAATAGTCTAGAAAGTGTTGTACAGTCGCAACCCATGATAGGAGAGAGAACATACATAAAAATACCAAGTGCTTTGGTAGTCTTTGTCTAAACAGTTTATGTGTGGTAGCCATGTTACCCTCGGGTCAAGTGTCACTCTTAGATCAGCTTGATTATATTTTGCCACCAATTAAGATTCTACGAAAAGCGAGGATAAACGTTACTGGTACCTTTATAAAATGCATAGCTACTGTTTTAATTTTTGGGAGAAATAATAAACCTAAAGTCCTGATTTATTGCAGTCTGTAGGCATTTTTGTTCCTCCATACAATGGCAAAGTCATCCACACACGCACAAGAAATCTCATTCGTATAACTATTTACAATGTCCTTTATGAACATTGTAGACCATTTGGACAACTTGCCCACGTGGACTTCTTCCTTCTGTTTTTTCTTTGTTTGCGTACACTATCTGTAACTCTTATGAAGATGGACATTGGTCCTCTTAATCGTAGAGAGGCGGAGTTTAATAGAATTATGTCCATGCTTCCTGTTGTATTTATGCCTTTTGGCTAAAAGGTGATGCCCCGTGTAAGGCATTCCTTATGGTTATTTCTAACAGGGATCCGTTGTCTATGTAACTCTCGTAACTTTCGTTTGAATACGAAAGAGTGACTTGTTCTTTTTCTTAATATACCATGTAAAAATTACCATCTGTCCAGTATATTTATAAATGCAACTTGTCAACATAATATGTCTGATTTCATCTTTTAAAGGCTTAAGGAATGGTGGTATTAATGATTCTTTCCCATACAACTGGCATTGTTACTTCCTGTTTGATATCATTTCCTGAGAGCATTTTGCATTTCTTCCTAAATAATGGTGGGCAGTATTGGAGATTCTCATCAATTGTTTTCAAATTAGGTGGTCTCCCTTGAAGCTGGCAGGCAATCTCTTAAATGACTTGCCCAATTGATTGCTCAGCTATAGATTTACAGTAAACTGGTAATTGTTCACATCTAACAGGGATGCTGTTGCCAATCTTCAGGGTTGGTAAGATATTGACATCGATTTCCCGCAATCTTCGAATTTAGCTCCAGACTAGTGATAGGAACAGTGCATTAATGGATGATACATGTATGGCATTCATACGTTGTAAAGGCATCATTAATGACCTTAAAACATTTGTGAACATTAGTAGTAATAGGGAACGATGGCTTCGACTATTTACCTAGAGTACAAGCAACACAGTGATGGATACACGCGCTCTGGTGGTTAGGGCGCGGAAAGGTCACGGCGGTCACATCGCAGCAGCGGCCGGAAGTAAATGGCTTGGGGGGCGACCGCGTGGCCAGACCTTGGCGTAGTGGGGGCGACCGCGTGGCCAGACCTGGCGTGTGGGGGCGACCGGCTGGGCCAGAACCTGGCGTGTGGGGGCGAACGCGTGGCCAGACCTGGCGTGTGAGGGCGACCGCGTGGCCAGACCTGGCGTGTGGGGGCGACCGCTGCCAGACCTGGCGTGTGGGGGCGCACCGCGTGCTCAGAACCTGGCGTGTGGGGGCGACCGCGTGCCAGACTGGTGGGGGTGGGGGCGACCGCGTGGCCAGACCTGGCGTGTGGGGTCGACCGCGTGGCCAGGAACCTGGCGTGTGGGGCGACCGCGTGGCCAGACCCCTGGCGTGTGGGGGCGACCGCGTGGCCAGACCTGGCGTGTGGGGGCGACCGCGTGGCCAGACCTGGCTGTGGGGGCGAACGCGTGGCCAGACTGGCGTGTGGGGCGACCGCGTGGCCAGAACCTGGCCGTGTGGGGGCGACCGCGTGGCACAGACCTGGCGTGTGGGGGCGACCGCGTGGCCAGACCTGGCGTGTGGGGCGACCGCGTGGCCAGACCTGGCGTGTGGGGGCGCCGCGTGGCCAGACCTGGCTTGTGGGGGCGACCCGCGTGCCAGACCTGGCGTGTGGGGGGGACCGCGTGCCAGACCTGGCGGGTGGGGGCGACGCGTGGCCAGACCTGGCGTGTGGGGGCGACCGCGTGGCCCAGAAAACCCCCCCCCCCTGGCGTGTGGTGGCGACCGCGTGGCCAGACCGGCGTGGGGGGCGACCGCGTGGCCTGAGACCTGGCGTGTGGGGCGACTCGCGTGGCCAGTAACCTGGCGTGTGGGGGCGACCGCGTGGCCAGACCTGTCGTGTGGGGCGACGCGCGTGGCCAGACCTGGCGTGTGGGGGCGACCGCGGGCCAGACCTGGCGTGGGGGGCGACCGCGGGCCAGACCTGGCGTGGGGGGCGACCGCGTGCCAGACATCGTGTGTCATCCTCCTTACTCAGCACAGGAAAATGTATGTTTTTCTTTTGACTTAAAATCTGCCTCAAACAATTCTTTTAACTTTACCACTAAATATATTCATTGTCTTGCAACTGGCACATTTAAAAGGTAACTAAGTAGGTAACATAGGTATGATCTACACCATTTTTCAACATCAAATTTCTGGCATTTGAAACACCAAGAGATGGAGATGGAGGCATGGGTCATATCCATTGGCTACTAGGCTGCCGTCTTCAGTCCATCGCAATGAAAAATTGCAAACTTGCCTAAAACTTTCCCATCGCTCAACTATCACCAGATCGCCCAAAAATAATCGATTACTTGCCATCCAATCCAACGCATTTGCAGTGTTTGAAGAAGGGGGAACATGTGTAGGGGACGATTGATTTCGCAGTTACTATGATGTAAAATTATTGGAGCAGTGAGATTAAGATGGAAGAGGTGTAGACAAGTTTCTTGGTTCATGATTAAATAGTTTTGAATGCCTTCTGAAGTGGAGTTGATTGGGAAAGGCTTTTGAGTTTTCTTTCTTATGATGGGGAGAAGAGGGACAGACCTTGAAGGGTGTTGGAGGGAGAGGCAGATGTAGGCGAGGATACACTAGGAAATGGTGGGCAATGTTTAGCTTGTCTTGTTGTCGAGTGGCGAAGAGGAAGATGGATAGTTATGATGAAACATTTTCGAAGGGGCAGATTGGAAGGACCGTACTGATGGAATAGAAAACCATCTGCATGCTCCCCGTCTGACTCACAAAGCGAGGCTAAAACTGAATCCGAGAATTGCCAACCTTCGGACTCGAAACTTGTAGGTAGGGCTCTATAAAATGCATTATGTGAGCCACTCCTCTTCTAGCAATGCTAAAATGATGGCATGCTAGAAGAGGAGTGTGTTGTCAAAGTCAGGGGTATTATGTATATCGTGAGTAGGGGAAATAAAAGTTGTGAGGGTGGAGCAACTAGGTGACGATTTGAACTGGAAACTGCGGTGATTGCCCTGTCCTCAAATGAGTTACAGAGTCATGGTTAAGAGCCTGGAGTCAGGGGATCAGGAAATGTTAATCTGTGGGTTAGTTATAAAGGGGTGAGCGCTCAATGCTCTTAGGGTGCAAGTCTCCTTAACCCTAGGGTAAGCCCTTTATTATGATGGGGGAGAGTCACCATTCAGGGTACCCTTGAGGGGTACAGGCAGAGACACTATACAGGGGAAAACATGCACGTTACTCCTCCCCCACCGCCCGCCGCACATGATGCACAGTAAGTCTTTCATCCGTTTAAATAGCTCCTCGCCTTAGGGAGTTGGCTAATGGGTTGGAAAAGAGCGACTCGGAATGGTACAAGCTCATCATCTTCCTCGTCCTTACTTACCTACCTCCCTCCCTTCCCCTCCCCCCCCTCTCTCGTGTGACAACCTAACAGATAATGAAAGCTGTAAAAGTACGACCCTCTGGCTTATTTTAAACTTACTGTTTTTGGTAAACACAAATGATTTTATAGAATGTGATTTAGCATCCTTTCCTGAAGGTGAAGTGCATATATCTGAAGGTTGATAAGGTCGTCTTGTTATCCACGCGACGTTCATGTTCATAGCACTCCACAGACGTGTTGGTTTCGCCGGTTTTCCTCCAGGATCCTCATAACAACAGTCACCCTAGACTTGGTGAGGCTGGGAACAATTAATATGGCGTTGTTAACTTTGTTTTCGGAATTTAACCCTATAACATGTTATTGGCACGTAAGGATCGACTTACCTCAACTTGAGACATGGCACTCATTGAGTCCTAAAAACCCAGAGAAGAGCTGGACAAGGGTAGCTCCACATTTATAGTGACCATTCACATAAATAACCGCTCCTGCCCAGGTACACCACCAAGCTTCCATACAGGAATGTCCTGTGTGAACAAGAAGCAGACAATCCTCGCACAGTTCCTCACCACATCTAACTTCGTCTCTGTAAAAAAGATACATATAGGTGATTTTTTTTGTGTGCACTTTTATGAACAATGAAAAGTCACTCTTAAAAGTCCACTGCCTTTACTTACACGCGATCTTTAGATCCTTTTTGTATGACATCTACTCCTGGCAAGAGCCTTAGAAAGCCGATGGCTTTCTGCCTGATCCCCATCGCTCTTGTCTGGCACCTCGGCTTCATCCCGCCAGTAAGGAAGTCATTCTCTCAGATTTAGCCTGTAAAGTTGATTGTGCTTTGGATTGGTACGTGGCCACCTGCGTTTCGGTTTCATATAGATGTTTATGGGCTCCGTTGTGTTATGCTGGTTTCTATTGGGGTCAGACTAAAACCTTTGTAATTAATATCTGTTGCCTTTTGAAAAGGTAACGTGAATAATATCAAGCGGAGACATGATGCTGGAGTTCAATATTTCAAGGATTTTTTTTTTTTTTTTTTTTACTGTCGAAAGTTACATTTGTTATATGTGGCACACTGGTGCGCACGCGTACTCGTGTATCACAGCTTCGGAAACTCACCTGTATCCGAGATACGGGCAGATTTCTTTACCAATTCGGTACTAACACCTTCGAGACAAACTGGCCTCCATGACGTGCCTTCTTTACGCATCAACATCCCAATTGGGACTCCGCTTGCTCTGACTCGTCCAGCAACCCACTCAAGGAAGGGGGGGCGAGTTGCAGACACAAGGCCAACTAAAGCCATGTGTGTAGATTCTGTCGCTGTATTATGTCATAAAGTAATAATCAACATTTTGGTTCAGGATATCACTTGGATATAACTCAATGCCGATTGGCATGACGTGTACGAACGATCATGCCCACTGATTACTGTTTGATGTTTTTACACATAAATGGCTTACACTTGTTATAAGTCGCCAATGAGCCAAATACGAGTACTGCCGTCTCACCGTTTACCCTTTGCCTTTAATTACGAAAATATTTTACGTTATGCTTATTTCTGTTAATGATGTTTATAACAGTAATGATAAATTTTAAATAAAAATAACAGCATCGCTATTCATAGCGCCAATTTAAATCAGGCTAAGGTCACAAGTCTACTAATTGACTCCTTTGTGGATAAGCACTAGCAAAGTATCTAACGTTCAAGAGACATTTCACAAAAAAATATAAAAATGAGCGCACATTTTACCCATTTTCTTATTAATTTGCCCTGGCGCATTGGGTTAAATAAATACCAATATTTTACTTCGATACATTCGAATCTAACCACTTACTACAGTAATTCAATCCTCACCCAAATGGCAGTCAACCACACCATCACATGCCTTAGCCATGCTATACACTGCCTGCTCGTTTCACAACAGAAGCCTTGGCATTTAATCTAGGAGGAAAATGAATAAAAAAGAAAGCTAAGTTAAACATTAAATATTTTCTCGACGCATTTTAACTAAACAAAACATTTCCACGATCTGTCACGTGTTGGGACAATAAAGCCAAAACACTTCTTGGGTTTCATTTGGACAATCATACCGGAACATATCCAAATACATAATATTTGGGCTCGCTTGGCAGTTCACTTACTGACAAATTCGTCGCTTCCATCGAAACAGTCGTAATACCATCGTTTTCTAGACCAGGTTTTTACAACGCGAAGTCTGTCAGGCATGAACAACTGTCTCGTCTGATGGTCGCGACCACTGGGGAATCCCGTCACATCTTTCCCCGCAAACGGGATACATTTGGGATGCTGAAGAGAGAAAGATCATGAAAGTAAATGATATGTAAA